GCGCTCGCTCGTGGAATTTGCAATTGGACGCGATTCGAATCTCTGAAAGAGAATATTAAAAATGAAATTGCTGCAGGGCCAATTAAGCAAAACAAACAAAACGACCATCTGCAATGACGCAATGTGAACAGCGAAATTTGTTGGTTTTTTTTTTTTTTTACCCGGCCGGTTTGCGGTTTTGCGCGTTATCGCGTCCGCTCGTCATCCAATCAAAATCGAACTAGCCGATTTTCGCTCGGTGGTCGTATTCGGCGCCACGTCGCCCCTCGATCGCGGATTTACTCGAAACGGATCAACGTGCGTCTAGATCAGCGAGATCTTTTTATGAGCCGTCCATTATCGATCCATCGATCGTTGACGCCTAACGGTACATGAAAATAATTCAACCTATCGGTACTTGGAACTCACTTGGATCATCGGCGATCGTCCCGTTCCTTTCCCAACGAAGAATCCGTTCTCTCGACATTTGCCTATTGTTTTACCGTCTCGATGTTTCAAAGTATTTCTCATGACGACGTCAAAAGTCACGATGTCAAATAACTAACTAACAATGAACTTGCATAGATTAGATTATCATGGAAGCGTATTCGTAAAGTCAAAGTCGTCGGAATAATCAAATTGTGTGTTTACACTTGGAAGTTCGGAGCACGCGAGCTTCCCAATCAAAATAAACATTCTTCGTAGAATGTTCGAGGCAACAAGCAAGTATGTCGTAATTATAAGTTTCCAATTCCAAGTATGATTGATTCACGGTTTCAAGTGCCCAATGATACGAGCAAAATTTACTCGACAAAACTCTAACGTGTTTTAAAATTTCGAGCGCGAGTGTACGTACTCAGGAGTGTATGCACCTCTGGTTCCGACTGCTCCGCCCACTCTGATCTTACAAATTTGAAATTGTAAAAAAATTTGGTTTGTAAGCAAGCTTACCTGGTGGACGCTGATTCGTGCTGGACCTGCTGTGGTATATTCGACAGGCCCACTAATCCGACCAGACACACTGACACTCGGGACCCTCGTGGATGCACGGTCGGATTTTGCAATCTGGATAGAGAAAGGGGGGAGGGGGGCAATCGAGGCGGAAAAACCGGGCCGAACAACAAACAGGTTAGGATGAGAGTGGTCGCGCGCCACGGAAACAGAAACGAAAAACGTTGTATATACGTCGAGAAATGTGCTCGATGCGTGCGTGTATGTGTGCGTATGTATATACGTGCGGTAGGAAAAGCAAGAAAAATTCAAGCGATCGTGCGTCGCGGCCGGTGCCGAGCCGACTGACTGACTGACTGACTGACTCCGGCAGTCAGCACGTACAGTCACCGCACTTGCATCAACACCGGCTGGCATCCACTTCCCCCGCAGCCTCTCGTTTCCAGCTCCATTCCAGCTCCTCTCAGAAACCTCCGTGCCTTCTCTCGTCTATCTCTGAGCCGGGTTTGCTGCCTGCGTCTCTTCGTCGCCCTGCTTGCACTCCAGCTGCGTGCTTTCTTCGGTTCGCCACGCTTCCTCGCCCCCTTTGCTCCCGTGAAAGCGTGGAATTCGATCAGGAATCCGAGGAATTTGATTTCCCGTGTCTAACTGCGTTCGACCTTTGATTTTATTTTACTTTCAAACTACGTTCAAGAATCATAACTCAAATTGCGATCGTTACTCGATGTAAGTCTGTACTTACTGTTCTTCGTAACTTTGAATTACGAAACCAAGGAAACGATGATGAACTCCCAAGAAATCCCAAGAGTTCAAACCCTCGAGGTCTTGAGTTGCGTCGTTGCGAATTTCAGTCCAATCGGTTGAAGCGTATATTTAGCTAAAAGTATTTATCGTCACTGTATCACGTATTAAGGATATTAATTAAAGAATCGATAATGGTAATAGGTTCGTGGGACAGTGTTGTCGAGAGATTAAATTCTTTCGGCATCGTTAAAAATTTCGTATCGTGCAACGAACTAAAGCGAATTTAAAACACGCCGCACGTTACGTTGTAACGTCGTCGTGGCATCGGAGTCGGCTTGCATTATTTATAAATGCCCGAATGAAATTAATTATTCCAGCTTAATTATTCCGCGAGGAACATATCGCGGCGCACGATCCACGTAAGAAGCTGAATACCAAAGATTCCTAGAATCAATGCTGTTAGGCGATAAAACGTTTACACCTGAAATTGATTAGCATCTTTCATTAAATTTAATGGAGAATCGATACTAATCCTCCTACGATCGCGCATCTATGTTCGTATATTCGAGGCATACGAACGCACTAATTAAGCGAAGTATCTGCAACTGACCGAGATGTATCGGTGCGTTGGCTTTCGTTTTAGGGACAGGCGTGCATTGAGCGTTGTGCAAACACCGATACACATAATATACCATGTACTGGCCGGTATCACGTTGGAAAGTGCTTGTCCTCGTAGCTACGACAAAAACTACTTTATACAAGTCTATTTTACCTTATGAGTTTTACCTCGGTGAACATGCAAACGAGATTTAAGCATAGATAAAACGTAACACAGATCTGTCACTCAACGTAAATTTATGTCATACTTGCAACGTTATCGATTCAGCGTGGAATAAGATCACGACATTGTTAGTGGTTAGAATTGAAACTAAAGATGTAGGCATGAACAAGGCAAGCAGGTAATAGATTTGAAATCTTGTTGGATTTCGCGCTGCAAGCTCTGCAATACCGACCGTTCCGTTACGCCCTCTACAATTTCAGCAAGTATAAATCACTTATATTCAATTCAATCAAACAACAGGAAATTTATTTAAAGGCAGAAAATTTATAACTATTTATTAGAAATTCATATTTTATACTCTATACAACATGGTCACAGATTATAAATTTCATATGTCGTTTCATATGTTAAACATCGATACGTATCGATTTTATGTCACGTGCTAATCGATATTTGTTGCATGCAATTAACTTAAAGCTTATAATAAGATAAATACGAAAGAATACCACTTTTACCTATCTTTGTCTATTTTAGGACTATTTTAAGACAAAACTTTCAAAAGGGCATTAATATTTTCTGAAAGTAAGTCATCCTCCGAGATCATTTTCGATATATCGATAATTCCGTCAGAGGCGCCATTCAGTTTTTTGAACGCGTTCCTCGCGGCTACGAGCTCCGTTAAAACGTTCTTGAAAAGTAACTGAAAGGAGGTGTTCTTTAAGTGTCTTCTGTGTTTCGTGTGTTGTGTTTTGTGCGATTTAAAGCGATTATCGTCTGCTCACCTCGGTTCCGCCATAATTTGCAATGCCAATACAACCAACAAGACCTTTTCCGTGAGTATAATATCCTAACTTCCTCCTTCGTAATCCAAAACAGAAAACGACACTTTCTTTCCTGCATGTATCGAGCAATTGACTGACTTGATCGTCCAATCCGTCTAAAATTCATCGACACAGTCGTCATTTTTTGTTCGTTTGAAAATAAACGTCCAAAAGTAACCTTTACCTTCGAGTTCAACTTTCTCGATATCAGGAGCGACAATCACGAACTTGAGCTGCTTCAATTCGGCGTGCTTACGAACTTCTTTCAAACCAGAATAATAACGACGTTTGTACTTGGATTTGTTTGGATATCTCTCGTGATATCTTTTTTGAAGCATCGTGATTCTCCCTACAAATTGTTCAAGCTTGTCGTTCAAAGTCGTCGTTAACGTATTAGTGCAGTATCTGTAAGATATTTGAATTCGCAAGATCAATTCAAAATGATTTAACAACGACAAAAGTGTGTTTTATATGAGATTGCAATAGGATAAGAAAAGCAGGATAGGTTGATAAACACTTTGATAATGTAGTGTATATATATGTATACATATCATTTATTGCGTCAAGAGTTAATGGGGCAAGTGTACAAATATGTATATTACAGTGTCACACGATTATATTCAAGTATTGTACAAAATATTTATTATTTATTATCATAAGTGCTTACTCACTTACAGTACTTACTCTCTAAAGTTACGAGAAAATTTTACAAAGCTTTTATCATCTATCATGTCTGCATTATTTTGAACCTCTGGCTTAACGTCCTCTTCAATATGAAGGGAGAGAGTTTGTTTAACAATATCACTTTCAATCATATCACTAATAAGGTTGGAGAAATGTGTTCTATTGTTTCTTGCGACTAATCTATTTGTTAACTGTCTTCCTTGGATCCCAAGATCATTTATTCTTCCAATGACATCCGGTCTGTGAGAGAGTGTGTTATCAGAGATATTTATTTCATTTATATTTCTATAGTTTTTGCCATAAAGTGTCATTGTCCACATATTTTTAATACAGTCTACATCTGTCTCTGGATCTGTTGTGATTTTCAAGGCATTGAAATTTATAGTGTCGACATCCTTACAGATAGCCTCCATTTTTTTACACTCGAAGATTTCCCTTTTCTCGACATTGATCTGTGCTTTTATATCACGATTCAGTAGAATTAATTTCTTCAATCTAGAAGGTCTCTTGTTCTTGGAGATACATATTTTCACTTTCCTTAGATCTGAACACTTGTTTTTGTCCAATGTATTTGGCAGTGTAAAACCAAGATTACCCATGTACAAATTAATCCTTAATTTAGGAACTTCCTTGCCCATTTTGGTTGCACGTATAGTGTTCTATAAATGGAATTGTAAAAATTATTTAATCTTTACTATTATCAATTGATCATTTAATTATAAAACTACCTAACAATAATTACCTGTAAAGCTTCTTGAAGATTAATGGAAATCCTATCTGATTTCTTGTATCTTTTTAAAGATTTTGATCTCTTTGGTTCCATATTTGCTTGCATGGGCAATAAAATCTGTACACTGTTGGGTCTTGACAAACAATGTTCTCTTTGTATAACTGGATTCTTATTCTTGACAACCGTACCACTGAGTTCAGGATACTCGAGATCATCCAAATTTACAAATCTGTTGTCCTCACTAATGTTTATGAAATCTCTCTTACAAGGTGAATATTTGACTTCATTTTTGTGGCAAAGTTCTGGCCATGGATTACGAAAATTAGCATTTCCATTAGTACTGAAATATGAAAAGAAATATGTAGAAATGTATGACTTAACTTTCTAGATACTTGCGAAATCTATCATAGTTACAAACAATACTTACTCAAACGACCACGTCAAATTGTCAATCTGTGATTTCTGCATTCTATATTATTTGTTTTCAATTTTCGTAACTACCATTTATGTGAAGAACAGAGCTCATAATTATTGCGATTACGGTTACTCTTGACTGATCGTGAACTACGCAAAACATACGTCACTCACTAGGAACATGTAAACAAAATTATACATCATTGCAGTCTATTTATTCTCAAGATGCTGGATGAAAAGGTTCTAGATGTAAATTTCTAAATTTAGAAATAACAATAGTACAATAACATGGCCAGTACTGCACCGTAGAAATAATTTTTCACTCGTTCTTATTAAAAACAAATTGATTCTATCAGATTATGGAATAAAATCATATCCGATATTACGTCTTTTAAAGCAAAGTTCAGTGAGAAGTTAGGCATATTGAGGATTGGTAAACGTGGTGACCTACTTCCTAGTAAAATAATTTTAGAGACTCTCCGCTAGATGTTACCACTGTCGCACATCATTATTTAATTCGTTAAATTTTTACGGAAAATTGCGAATGAAAGCTTTTTTTACAGGGAATGGATACTCGGAATTAAAATTTTATATAGTTTATTATTCGCATAAACGTTACGTACACGCCGTAAAGTTTGTCTCACGATAATTAAACTTCTCGTTAATAAGTTTTAATTGAACCGCGCCACGCATATTCTGAATTTCGCAGAGGGTTTCAAACCTTCGCGAAAAAATTCCCCGTCTAAAAAATGACTTCATTAACTCGCAGCCAGTCTGAAATGCGCTGCACGTACAGTTGACCGTAGGAAATTTTATGCGTCGCCATCTGCAAATGGGAATACCAATGAAAGAGCCAAATCGCACCCATCTTCCAGCCTAATGGAATCATTTTATCGTTCCCACTTTACATTATAAACCAATCCCTCCCCGACATTTCTTTTTCATTACGTCTCGAAGAGATTTATTATTCTCGTGAAGTTTTTCATTCGGCAACATCAGGAAGCACTTAGACAATGCCCGTTCGTTTTACCAATGCATATTTCATACGCTGTTTATATTTCCCCGACACATAATCTACCATAAAATCTCACGAGTTCAACCTCATTGTCAGTCGAACCTGTTGTTGCATTATCCAATGGTAGTAACAACCTTCAGCGAATTACCTTCGGCGAGTCGAGCTGTTCGTTGGCCGTTTATCGTCGTCCGTCAGAAGACGTCGTTGACGCGTGAAAACGATCCCGTCGAGGTTCGACTTTCTCAAAAAGAGAGAGAGAGAGAGAGAGAGAGAGAGAAAAGAAAAAAAGAAAATTAAAAAGAAAAAAGAAGAAAAAGTTTCTTTTTTCCTCGCGTTCTTCTTCTTTCGCTGGTGGGATCGGCGGTGGTGCTCGTGCGCCGTTCTCCAAGGACCTGCGCACGTGCACCGGCCTGGCGGAGCGATGGAAATCAATAATTTCCAGGGTATAAAAGATCCTGTTTCCGTAACGTGGCCACCTCTTTGAGTTCCGGTGATCGGTGTGTCGCGCACCTCGGCCTCGAACGTGTTTAGTGGCTCCTTCCTCGTTTACGATTTATCTGTTTCATCGAAGAGGTATACAAGCAGGTAGTCGATTAAGTGAATTAGCGTATAAGGCACACACGCACCGGCATCCGGCATGCCGGTGTTTAGTAAATAAGTTTCTCACCCCCCGCGGTCACACGGACGATCTCGGTGTAACCCCTGTCGGATGGTTCTATCGAGGCGTCGTACGATAATATACGTATACACGCATGCACGAATATATATAGACTCGACGAGTAAATTGCCTAGTTTTTCTTACTCTTGTTCTTGCTGTCCTCCTCCCCCTCTTTCTTCGGGAAACAAATGTAAGAAGAACTCACGGACGCCTCGAAGAGCGCATCGTCATCGTGGCCTCTTCGAATACCGACGACGAAATCTTGTCCGATGAGAAGGATAAAAGCCGAGGTATCGACGTAAGAAACGATCGAACGGTTTGATACATTCGACGATTTACTACGCGATAGAAAGTGCAGCCTGCACGTGGCAGGCACGTAATCGAACGAATCGGGCGAGCAAGGAAAAATACGCGACGAGTCATTAGCGTTGCGATACTTTCACCTCGTAAATGGAGCTTGGCAAATCGGTATTCGTCGGACACCGCGATACCACCCTATATACACACACCCGAAACCGTCCGCTTGACTACCAATTAATTTAATTAAGAACTTCGAAATCAGAAAGATGAACTTCTTACGAGATTTGCATACATCCACGAGACTGATGGCTTAAGGATTATACACTTCTCTTCTTGTATCTCTTTATAATTTTGTCCAAATACTCTGTACGTTTGTTTCTTTCACTTTATAATTTCATTTGTTCCACACGGATATGTCGTGTGGCATGGTGTAGGCCTCCTGGGGATCCCCGCCATGTAAAAAAACGGGAACGCGTTCCGGCACAGTACCCCTTGGGTGACGAGGAAAGCTGTGCCATTTTCTTTTTTTTTTCTTTTTTTTTTTTTCTTTTTTTTTTGTTCGTTTAGTTACACCGAACAACCCAGCTTTCCTTGTTTTCAACCCTTGTTTTTCTCGTCTCGTTTATTTATTTTTCCTCGTTTTTCTTTTTTTCTTTTTTTTTTTTTTTTTTTTTCTTTCTTTGCGTTTCTCCGCCTTAGCATTTACGCTAATTTACGAGTCACGCCGTTCAACGCTTTCATTCTCGATTCGTAAATTGGCTGGCCGAGACGGGAGCACCAAGCTCGAACAGCGTAAGTACACAAAGTGGTTAAAGTATTGTTCCAAGGCTGAAAAACTTTGAGTTGCTCTCGTCTCGAGCAGAGTAAACCGCTTTCATACTGTGCCACCTCGCTTCAAGTTCCCTCCAGTTCTCCCTATTCTCTACTTGTTCAACCCTTCGTTACCGGAGACATCGTTCTCTTTGGAATTAATTCTCCGTACACCCCGATAACTTGCCTCGGCTTATCACGAGAGAAAAAAGAAAACCTACGCAGCGTGTATCCTCTGTCCAATTACAGGAGGAATGTAGCAACTAAAAGCACGAAACGAATTTCTTTCAGTCGCAAAACTGCGATGTAGTACTGTAATAATACATATTTCGTTCAATAAAGACAAACTATATAGAGAGAAATTATATACTATATATATATAATAAGATATGGAGAGTAACTATCGTTTGTACACAGTAAAATGACTTTCGTTAATTAATTAAAAATTTCAGAGTGATTTTATAGTCGCAACACGTAGTGCAGTATCAACGATTGACGGTGTAAAATATTATATCGATTTATACTAAAAAATGTTTCTTTAACAACAATAATAGGTTCAAGTTGCTCTTCATTCAACCGATTGATCTTCACGCGAATCGAGGGGAGAAAAATTTTTATTACTAACAAACTGAAGAAAAATCCACGCGTTAAGAAGTTGATAATATTCCCTCCGCCGATTAAAGAACAAACGCGCAATCAGTTGTGCGCAATCGGTTACCTGGAATTTCACTTTAATGGGAGAAATTTGTACGTGTTAATCGTTAACCGGTTGCCGGCCCAATTCTTCTATTCGCCTCTGCAGCCGAACATTCTGACGCCGTTTTGTCGCTCCCTTCGCGATAACGATCGAATTCGCTGGAAAGTTTAATTAAAAGCGTAGCCTCACGGCCACGGTTTAATAATTAATTGTTCGCGGAACATCGCGTTGCTTCTGGCGAAACAGGTGATATCGGGAAAACCGACGAAACCAGGTTGGAAACCAGGTGAAACCAGGTTTCATTGTTTCGAGCAACTGTTAATTCCTTTGTGATAGTAAGAGTCTACGGACTTCGTCGGCTTTTCTTTCGGGGGAAGTGGCCCAAATGAAAAGAAAACGAAACCGTGAAGTGGCAAAGTTCTCGTCTCGATTAACACGTTCTCTTGCTACCGAGGCATATAGTGCGTTTTTATTTGTCTAACTAGAAATACTATTATCGGCTGACGTAATCATCGTTTTATATTTCTCTCTACGTGGAGAAGCTTCTTTTGCTTCATTCGAGTAAAAACTAAACAGGAAGACGTAGCTTTGTAAAACAATAATGAAAATGTAATGAATCTTTATTCTTTATTTTTAGAGTTATTTGAAACTTACTCTCTTTCCACGTGGTCATTGTCTACCGCAACACATTCCCGCCAATGTCGCATTGATCTTTGTGATTCAAAGTTCACGAGAAGGTCGATGTCTTTTTTCCAATATTATTATTTCTTCAATACAGACTTCGTAGCTGAAATGTTAGACCTTCGAATTGTGCCTTGATTTCAAAAGAAGGAACGACATTCACCTTTCCGCGAAGAAGATTGCTGCAAAAATTTAATTGATCACAAAGATGGTGATTGCATGGGGAAAGAAATTTTTTTATTTTTATCGCGAGTTCATCGAGATATCCCTTCCTATTTATTTTTTATTCAAGCGAAGGGAAAAGTCTTTCAATTCATCATCGCATTTCATCAAAGTAAAGAAGCAAATTTTAAACAAATTTTTAAACAGTTTTAAGTTTCGTAGGCTCCGAACCACGCACTTTTCTCAGGTAATAGTTCACCCACTCGCAAGTAATTTAAGTTTACGAGCTTTGTTGCCGTTCTAAATAACTTTATTCATTTCTAAACAAGTGTAATCGATTTAGAAACAAAATGCAAAAATAGTGAAGTTGTCTGGTTAACACATTCCCTCGCTACTGAAACATACGGTTCGTTTGTTCGTTTATTTACGAGTAACCAAGTTTATTGATAAGTTAATTGTTGCGTCTTTCGTTTTCTTAATTGTTTTTTTTTTTTTTTTTTTTTT